TTTAAATAATGTTCAACTCTGTCTTTTCCTCGGTCTGAAACGGTTTCTACGGAACTTTTCGTATTCCATTGGGATAAATATTTCACACGAAACACCGGAGTCTAGCATTTAAACAGAACGAGAGAATAAATCAGCGGACTCTCGAAAATTGTAAAGATATTTTCCTAGATTCCATAATTTACATCGCATTGGCTTCGGAACGGTTGTATGAAAGTTGCACCGCGAGAGAAAACAATTTCAACGCACAATTATTAATCGTACGTGTCGCCGTTTCTTCGGGGTTTTATTTTATTTAAGCACGTGAACATGTCTCGCGTTAACTTGAAAGTCACGCTAACGCGCCACGCGGTTAACAATTCCAAGTAAAAATAAATTTACGAAGAGAATTTCTCTTCATCGTTGCCTGGCTTGACTGGCCGCTTGCTTTTCTTTTAGCGCTAAAAGAAAGAAAAAAAACAAATAATAACGGAGAAAACGTTGTAATTAATTTTACTTATCTTGAACTAATTAAACGAAACTGTTGGCTCGTTCGTTTTCCCGCGTGCTAAAGTAAATTGCTTGGGTCTCGGGTGCTGTAAAATTGAAATTGAATTTCGGTAGGTCGCCGTTAATTAACATCGTGTACAGTCCGTCCAAACGTCGCGCGACTCACTTTTCGCGAAAGAAAAAGAGAAGAAAATGGTAGCGGAACATAAATTGCGCCCTTTACGCGTGCGTAAGTGGAACGGAAACGATTTGGTCACGTGACCGCTGTCTCGTTATTCGAATTAAAACCGACACCTTCGTTTCATTAGCTAATTACGTTCGCGCGGTTGGTTTAACGCGACTGAAAGTATCGAGTTTGAGTAGTAGTTCTGTGTTTTATAAATAAACAAAATGAAAAAGGAAAAGTGTGGGTCGAAGCTACCGGAAAAACTTTCTGAAAAATTAACGAATCGTAGAGGTTCGAACAAGTTTCAAGGTTTCCAGACCGCAGTTATCTTGCCTCTAGCCGCGTGGACTCGCTCGGCCCGAGATCCAGTCATTTTCTCGCGATTTTCCGTCCGATAGAGCAGCGCGGAATCCTACAAAGCGGCCAAAGTCTTATTCCGGCAAAAAAATGTCCGTCCGTAGCGTCATGAAACCGGGAGACTGCAGTAAAGGAAACGAGCGGACAATTCGTTTCTGGCGGAGGGGGTTTGGAAATTCAGTTTCCTAAAATTCCGGACGATGTCTCGACGATCGGATCCGACGGCGTCCAAGCACGGGGAATGGCCCCGGGAGAAACGTAAACTGGAAGATTCCAGGGTGGAAAGGGATGGACCGTAGAGTCTGGGATCTAAGAAAGGACGCCGACGGCCGGTACGATGGAAATTGTAACACGGAAACGTAGCCGCCGGTGAAATTGTTCCACATCCATTCCGCGTGTTTTATACTCCGAATAACGTCTATCGATTGACACACATTCCTTCTCCTTCCTTTCCCGACGTTCGCGTGGCGTGTGGGCGACCAGCTTTCCCTGCTCTGGGGACTCCAACTCCGGGCTGATCCTTCGCCGGCGAGATTGAATTTCGCGCGGCTTACGCGCCAAAGCGTTGAAACTTTCCCTGCGCCTCCGGCGGCTGCGTTTCGCTGGGAACGACTGTTCGGGAACCGACCGGAGACGGTCGTTGGATTTTTGCGATTAAGAGGTCGCTCGGACAGAACCGCGGCTATGCCTATGATACTCGCGCTTCTGGAAGCGTGCCCCTGGGGTCGTTCGCGTATGCGCTTCGAATAGGTCGCAAGAATGCTTATTTGATTTCCGTGAAAACAAATTGCAACCACTCGCGAGCAAACAGCGCATTTCATGCTAGGTTAACCGCAATTTCAACGCGTCAGTACGAATTCCTAAACGTTTGAAACCCCGCGGAAAGGCTCCGGGCCGAGATATGCATCATAGCAACGTCGCGTCGGATGAATCCTTTTTCCAGCCGCGCTAAATATTCGTTCGAAGACGATGTTAACCCCCTTTTCCATTTTAATACGGTCCCACTCGCCGTTCCGCGGCTACGAAGGCGTTGTAATTAAAGGCCTGAGAACCCGGCGCAGCTCCAGAATTCCCTGGCTCTTTCATTATGCTCGCTGACATGCAGCGACGCGGCCACTTCGCCTTCTACCCGAACCGCCGCGGAAAGTATTTCACCGTCACGCCGCGTAATTTCGCGAGCCTCTTGTAATCTTCGCAAATAGGTTCATCTTCGTGCAATCACTTTTTAAGTAGAAGCTACGACGCGACGGGAGTGCAAACTTTTTCTTCTGGGTTACCGGGAGGGAGAAAGAAGCCGCGAGATGAGGCGATTTGTCATCGATGCAATTTGTAACGGAAGTCCGCGGAGGATGAACTTGTCAGGCTGTTGAACGACGCATTTGTTTCGCGGCTGCTGTTGTTCGGAAGCTTATCGAACACGGTTCTCGCAACACTGTCCTCCATTTTTCTTTCGGATCTGTGCGAATTAATGTTGGATAAGGGAGCTCGAATCACGTGCTGTAAAAAGCAACGAAGCTCGTGAGCATCGTAATTTTCTGGTGTTAGGAAATTAGAGATAGCTAAATGGCTGAAGCAGGCCATGTGTTTAGTAGATAATGTGCTTTGTCATTTGTCACTAGTAAAATCGAACGCATGGAACTAGAAGTTCGATCGCCGAGCAGTGTAACATGATCTGGGATCGGGTTACTCAATAAGAGAATTTAATACAACGATGAAAATTTTGTTATTATTAACTTATTTGTTGTAAAACTTTTACCATTATATTCCTGACATTCTTCTGATTAAAATGAGACCAAACACGACGTAATTCGCAACATATTTACTTCTAACAATTTATTATGTATCATATATCGTAGAACACTAACTAAAAAAAAGCATGGTAAATATCGTCCGAATTATATCGTGTTTGGTCTCATTTTAATTAGGAAAACGCCAGGAATATAATGGTAGAATGTAAAAAGTCCACCATAAATGCACTAGTTCAGTCCCGAGTTTGTGCATTAATGGAGACTTTACTCAGAGGTCGATCCAAGATCGTGTAGGATGCAGGGGTTTCGAGGGTTGCAGATCTATCGCCTACGCTCCATCAAAGGAGCACTTGCGGAAAAGGGATCGCGGTCTGTTGCCCTCTAGTGGCGAGCACGAGAGGCGTCGCCACAAATGAACGGTCAATCTTGTCCAAGTATCATCGAGCGCGCATGCACGGAACAAGCCTCTTAGCCTATAGCCACTTATGACCAGAAGGATCGCAAACTAATACCGAACATCTCTCCTGAGCGCACCGCTGTCTTGGAAAGGGAACGACGGTTCGAATAACTAGTCCTCTCCGGGTTCTTAGTTTTCAAGCACCGCCAACTCCACTTGCCTGTAGTGTTACGGACCTTTTCCCTTGGATTAGTCTTGCTGCTGGTGCGCAGTACAATTCCACGAGATACCACTCGTTCTGTTTAATTGTCGCGATAATTCCTTCGGTAAATTCTGCCTGGTTGTCTCTACTGCTTCTTGGAACTGACGGTGATCAAGTTTCAGCCAGCTTCCTGTCTAAGCGTCGCACATTGGTCCAATTCGCGAAAAACCTGGCCAAAATTCAATTTTTGAAGTACACGGAATCAGTAAACTGCCGTAGTGTATTGGACAAAATATGTTTGTTGTAACTGCAACAAATTTGGGTAAAATGTTTCAATTGCATATGAAAATCTAATGGCTTTTTAATATACATGTCGGCCATATTGGATTCGCCATTTTGAATTTTGCAATTCTCATATTAGATTCGAAGTTTGCAGTTCAAATTAATCATGAATACCAAGTTTCATGAAAATCTAATGGCTTTTTAATATACATGTTTAATATACATGTTTAATATACATTTTGCAATTCTGATATCAGATTCGTAATTTTCGTCCCAAATAACTCAAAAAATACCAAATTTCATGACAATCTAATAAGTTTTTCATATATGTACATGTCGGCCATATTGGATCGGCCATTTTGAATTTTGCAATTTTCATATCAGATTCGAAGTTTGCGGCTCAAATAAGTCGTAAATACCAAGTTTCATGAAAATCTAATGACTTAATAATATAGATGTCGGCCATATTGGATGCGGCATTTTGAATTTCGCGCTTCTGATATCAAATTCGAAGTTTGCGGCCTTCGCAACACATACATACCAACTTTCATGAGAATCTAATAATTTTTGAATATACATGTCGGCCATATTGGATCCACCATTTTGAATTTTGCACTTCCGATCCGAAAGCTCTTTCTAATTTTGGTAATCTGGACTACTGTGCGTCGCTGCCTATGGTCTGAGTAGACTGCGCATAGACGCGAGCTTAGAATTCCGTTAGGTTGAAAATTTTTGAAAGAGGAATGCGGATCTTTGAACCGATGCTTTCTGAAATTTCATAACGGACAAACGTCTGCCAGTAGTCAAATAAAATACATTTTAAAAATTCTATTTCGGAGATACCGGACGACTCTCTTCCTCCATTCCCCGACTGACCTTTCCATGTCCAGATATGATACGCGATGTCCTTGCCGCGGCATAAGAGAAAAGAATTGGATCCCTCGAAATCCTATTTCCTGAGAGTCTCCAAAGGCTAAACTTGTCATGTTGTTGAGCGAAGTAGTTATTTCGTAGCTGCTGCATCGCCAAAGCTGATTGAACGAGGCTTCGCGATTCTTTCCGTCTCTTCATTTTAGAATCTTCTCGTTTATCGATTCGGAAGAAGCAAGTAATATTCTTGGATTCCTGTGTAGAGAATTCGAAGTTGTTGATATTTTATTGTTTCGATACTAATCTAACGTACGTTTGGGTTTATTCAAGTTTTAAGTGATTCGAAAGTTAGTATGCCATCTCGTGTGCGCCGATCTTCTGTTTAATCAGCCGAAATAGCATAAAGTCCGCAATAAACGAAACGTATTTAAGGTGTCAGCAGTCGTCTAAAAGTTTCGCGGGAAATTTTAATATCGGAATATTAAATTTCAGAGCAAAGAGGATCTTCAGCGTTTCCTGTTCGAACTGTCAGTTGGACGGCGTCCCTGGGGATTACCTTGCCTCCCGGTTTTACATATTGCCGCATCCCGAAAATGTATGCGGCCTGCAAAACCGATGCAATTGCCGGCGCGCAACGCTAGCGCCTTTAATCTCTTCGCTCGTCGCTATGCGCCTGGAATCTTGTAATTAATATTTCCCCGTAAGCATTGTTAAACTCGTAACAGGTGCAAGTCTGCTCACTGTAGCTCGATAACTAGTTACCTAGGCAGAAATTTTCGTGGAATTTGAGAAATTACCTTACTCGGATCGCTACCTCGACTCCTCTCGAACCGGAGCTTCAAAAGATACCACGAAAAAAAGCGCTAACATCGTAAAATAGCTTTTTACATTTTTATATCGGAAACAATTCCGGACATGGACCCCATTATCCCTTGGGGTAATTTCAGCATTGGTGGAAAGTCATTCGAATAGAAATGTATTCAAATAAATTTGCGAACATATTTTTATTCAAGTAACATTATTCGGAACAAAATTCGTCGCTGGAAATGAAATTTGTCCAACTCGGATTTCGAGTCACCTAGTTGGCTGGTTTAATTACGCGATTGAGAATGAAGCGTTCGAATAGATCGCGCACGTATTACGCGATCAAGTAATCCCCAAACAAATTGCATTACCCAGATTCCCGTAAACAAACGCAAGAACAAGACTTCGCTCTAATATATCGATTGCCTCTATCTCTGAATTACAGGGGCTGCGTCGAACGAGGAGCAAGTGGGATTAAGCTAATACCTTCGATAGGTTTTGTTCGAATCGATAAACACCGGCGCTGGGATAATACGAATTCGGTGACGTCGCAGAGGAGAGACTCTAGTTTTTCTACAGTGAACGATGAACGTTGAACTCTCGCGAAAGAGAGGTGTAAGTGATACAAACAGGATATTCCTCGTCGACTTCGAGAGCAAGCTTTGCTTTGAGTCACGTTCACATCTCGGCTTCATCAATGGGCGTTTCACAGATATCGACCATCGTCACGACGGTGCAAGCATCGATCCTCGATCATGTTGACAAGTGCATCGGAACTAACTTTCAAAGAAGGCCTCACTTGAGGGCCCGAGATGACCGCTTTCTGTCCATGAAAAAGTACCTCGGATATTGCTGAAGACCTCGTCACGGATCAGAGTATAGAAAGCCATAAGTACGAGGCATAGGGAGCCATAGGAAGCTAATCAGGACTTTAGAAAAAGGAGGACGAAGTCTGCAAAAGGTGTCCAGCGGGATACCATCAAGTCGGTGAAAAAATTCAGGGCTTCTATCACCCTCTAAACGTACCATTAGAGGTGAGTGCCAACCATGATCACCGTGGTCAAGGGTACCCCGCAGTCATGACAGAGTAAACCATTCGAGGATCATCCGAGACCTCGTCCACCATGTTGAACGTAATGGCGGCGGTGACGACGAGCCTTCCCAACCGAGTGGACCCAACTCCGACTACCTCGAGCAACACCAGCAGCCCCTCCAGCACAGCCGCCAACAACGTGACGTCTGTGCCGGTGGAGAATCCCACGGTCGAGAACCTTCCTGAGAACGTGAACGTGTTCGTGGTGGTGATCAAGGGGATAATCATGGGTAGCATAATCACGACGGCAATGCTAGGAAACGCGTTGGTGATCGCCAGCGTCAGGAGACACAGAAGGCTACGTGTGGTGACGAACTGTTACGTAGTCAGTCTGGCGGCCGCTGATCTGCTAGTGGCTATGTGCGCGATGACGTTTAACGCGTCAGCCGAATTGTCTGGGGGCAAGTGGTTGTTCGGACGGTTCATGTGCGACGTCTGGAACTCCCTTGACGTATATTTCTCCACAGCCTCTATCCTTCATCTGTGCTGCATCAGCGTGGACAGGTACTACGCCATCGTCAGCCCTCTGGAGTACACCGTCATCATGAGACAGGGCACCGTCGGCTGCATGCTGGGCAGCGCATGGACTCTGCCGGCTCTCATCAGCTTCATACCGATATTCATGGGCTGGTACACCACGCAAGAACACTTGGAGTACATGGTCAAGAATCCGGAGGTAGGTTTGTCTCGTTAAACGTACAAATTTGTCTACGATAAGTGCACCAGCCCCACCATCAGGGGGGTATACCTGTTGGGGAGGCCAGGAGTTTGATCGTCCGAGTTTCGTATATTCTTTGATGTTGAATTTTGCAAATCTCATATCAGATTCGAAGTTTGCAGCTCAAATAAGTCGTAAATACCAAGTTTCATGAAAATCTAATGACTTATCAATATAGGTATCGGCCATATTGAATCCGGCATTTTGAATTTTGCAATTTTCATATTAGATTCAAAGTTTGCGGCTCAAATAAGTCGTAAATACCAAGTTTCATGAAAATCTAAGAACTTTTTAATATATATGTCTGCCATATTGGATCGGCCATTTTGAATTTTGACATTTTTGGGACATCTTGTGCATCGTAGAACACTAACTGAAAAAATTGCATGGTAAATATCGTCCGAATTATATCGTGTTTGGTCTCATTGTAATCAGAAAAACGTGAGGAATATAATGGTAAAACTTTTACAACAACAAAATTATAAATAAAAAGGTTTCACCGTTGCATTACACTCTGATAATTACACGAATTATGAAATATATAAATATTAATGAGAACACATTTTCAATGGACAAAATAAATATTGTATAATACTTACGTTATCAAAATAAGAGACATTCTTGAATTTTATAACGCGTCCAATTACTACCGGTCGGCAAACTATTGAAAAATCAACACCGCGTCTTGTGTCCACTTGGTAAACGTTCCTCCTAGCGTACCGAATTCTAAATTCCGGCAATAATTCCTCAGGGATAAGGCGATTTGCGCAACGGTCTTGGACGATTTGCATACGCACGCGTTACAGTAAATCGACCAATCATGTCCTCCACGTCGTTCGCGTAACTTGGACTATTGTTTCCACGATTGGTTAATTTGGTTATGCATAGTGTCTGACGCATCATGAGAACACCATCGTCGGTGTCCCGGTTCATTGTAAATGCAGAAGTAATGGTAATTTAGTACGGGAGGATTGAATTTTCGATCTCGAAGGATCAATTGTTCCATATTCATACAGTTGCAATCGGCCTCGAGCTGCTTTTTCTTCGCGTGGACGCCATAAAAAAATTGAATTTAATCGCACGTATTTTCTCAATCGCGACAACATATTTTCCGTTCCGTTGAAATAGCATTTGCGAACTTGCGCTGACCGAGGCTGTGCGATTTAAATGGAATCACTCATTAACGAAATGGAACGCGATTCCTGTATTCAAGATGGAAACGTCAAGTTCTCGTGTCCGTTACGTTAGAATCGTTCGCTGGACGAATCCAATTTAAAACGTGTCTTCGGGCTGTTGTAATAAAAATAAACTGGCGTGACAGGGCCAAGCCAATGCTCCATTTGCCGGCGAAACAAAATTAAATCGTAGCTACAGTTTTCAACTCCATTAAAGTTATTTCGGTCGTAATGATTTCCGAGCGACGCCACTGGCGGGAATTGCGATTTTTTCTTTTCCAAACGAACCCCGTCCAATTCAGATATCGATATCTCATCATCGCGCGCGACAGGGCCTCGCGTTCCCGATTAATTCATTTTTAATTACCGTTGTTGGTCCGTTCGCGGAAGTTCGTGTTTTCCTTTAATTTATGTTAAATCGAGCCACCTCCCGCGGGCCCCGCTTCTTGTTCATTACGCGATGTAACTGACGGAAGTTAAATGCAAATTACGATTAGCACGATACATTGTTTCGAAATGAAGTTTACGTAAGCTCGGTGAAAGGCTTCATCTCGTTATGGCAGGTGAGGGGTTTAATAAAAATGCTGCATGCACGACGGAAACTCCGCCGAGAGAAGAAAATTAAATTAAAAACCTAGCTTAACGTTTATGGAAATTCGAGACTCGATTATTATTATTGAAACAAATTCGCGTTGTGTCGGCGGACTTTCGATTTCCATCTACGAAACGAATCGAGCCCTTACAGATCCCTTTAGACGGTCATGTCCGTTCTCAGTTCAGTTTCAGTTTCAGTCGAACTGTCAGTTTTTAACCGACTTTGAAAAGGAGCATGTTACTCAAGTTTTTCTTTGTTTCCTATGTGTAAAAAGTAAGCAGTAAAAGAGGAACGGAAACGGAGACTGAGAACTGACGAGAGACCTATTTGTTTCGTTTCATTTCTTAGAATTCCTAAGTGTAAACAAAAGGGAACAGTAAGAACTAAACGGACCATGTTAAAGGACCTAGATTAATATTAACGCGACAGTTAAATCCGTTTACACTAATTGCCCGCTTTTGTTTTAGGTTTGCTCGTTTGTGGTGAACCGACCGTACGCGGTGATCAGCTCCTGCGTGTCCTTCTGGATCCCCGGCCTGGTGATGATAGTGATGTACTATAAGATCTACAAGGAGGCCGTCAGGCAAAGGAAGGCTCTCAGCAGGACGTCCAGTAATATAGTTCTGAATAGTGTCCACCATCACAGGTCGTCGACCAGGCAACACCATCACCAGCAGATGCTACTCCAAGCGGCGGCTGAGACTGGTGAGTTTTGCCCTACATAGAACGTTTATAGCGTGTCGGTGAAGTTCGCGCAGCGTCACGATGACGAAGCACCAGACCGCCTGGCTCGCCTTTTCGTAGCTATTTCTTGGGGCAACACCTGTAGGGGTGCACGGTTTCTTTTGTCTTTTCTTCCAAGGCGCTACTTGTTGAGCCAGGACTTTCTAGGGGTTGAAAGCAGGTCGATACTTGGGCGTGAAACAGAGATTAATATTTGGAAGGGCTGGGAGTCGAGGGGCGACATTTAAAAAAAGAAATTCTCCACCACTCCACTCGAATATCGAGACAAGTAATGTTGGTCTGCCGAGCCGAGTCGAGTGTTTGAAAATTCCGAGCAAAGGAAGTAAAGTCTGTATAAATGTACAAACTCGGGACTGAAGTAGTGCATTTATGGTATACTTCGTACATTCTCACATTAGGAGATTAATATTTGGAAGGGCTGGGAGTTGAGGGACGTCATTTAAAAAAAGAAATTCTCCAGCGAGATTCGTACTACTGTTTTCAAACCTTTGGTCTTTGATGATGAAATCATTGTTTAAAATTAGTATAGTTCCTCGAAGGCTTCATCAGTCGCAGTAATTTTTACTCGACTTGCCTTTCGAGGTAACGAAATACGTCGAAGGATGCGGCAGATGCAAGGTTTGCACGTATAGTGTGAGTAGTTTCAGATACTAAGGGGAAACTGACTGTTGATGGTCAGCTGCGGCGTATATCCAATATCACGAGTAACTACGTATATCTCCCTAGAACTTTCCAAATGTATATTACTTTAGCGATTATTTCGAGTTGATATCATTACTCGGAATAATATAAACTTGTCAAGTATACAGGGTGAGTCACTTAATGTTTGCACCTCGAATAACTTTGTTCTTTTTAAAGATACGTCGAATATCATAAGGACAAAGTTGAATGGTTCAATGGGACTCACACGATGGCAAAAATATTTTTATTTTTATGTCATTTTTTTAAATGCAACCAAACCTCTTGAGACACCTGCAATGATCGCAATTATGATGTTCGACGTATCTTGAAAAACACCAAATATATTTAAGGTGGAGACGTTAGATGTCTCACCCTGTATACGGAAATTCAGGGAACCTGCCAGGAACTCGTGACAAAGTATGTTATTTTAGATGGTATTCGTACCACATTTCCGATAATGGGCACGCATGAATCATCGATCGACGAATAGCGATTAATTATAAGCGGATCGAGCCGCTTCCAGATTCCATCCCACCGAGTGATTAATTTTTGGCTCTGGTAATTAATCGAGGTCCGACGACCACGCGAATATTCGACGTCAGGTGAAAATGTCGAAATCGGCGGACGGTTTCGGGGATAAAAACCGTGCTGGTGTTAATTAAAATTGATTATAAAGGCTCGCGTGATAAAGGGTTCCGTTGAAATTCCGCTTAGCCGTGGACGGGTTTTTATTAAAGGGTTAATTAAAGATGCGGTCGCCAACTAGTACCTCCTTTGAGGAAATTACGCTTTCCGTGGCATAAATCGCGGAAAAACGAAGCGCAATTGAAAGTCGTTGAAGTTTAAACGCGATATACATATAATCTATACCGAGGCTTCTTAAACTATGAGTCGCGAAAACCAAACGGGGTCGCTTAGCGAAATCCTGGGATCACGAGATTTTAATGTAACATATTTAATATTCTCTTTTCTTTATGTTATTGCAAAAAATGTACTTTTCATGACAAATAGGGTACATAATAATTTTACAACTTTTCGTGCAATTTTTAATTGCATACTTTTGCATGTTTTTAAACAAATTCAATATGCTCGCAACCAAATATGTATATGTATAATTAATCAATAATGTTCGCAACCCAAAAAACATTAAATAAAGGTACGTAAATATTTCATGATGATTTATTGATTATGTAATGATATATGTACTAATGAAAAAATATAGTTTTAGAATTTGTTTGAAAACATACAAAAATATGAAATTAAAAATTGCACAAAAATTTTTAAATCATCACAAAATATTTATATACCTTTATTTTATATTTTTTGGATTCCGAAAAAGATCACAATCATGAATGGGGTTCGCGAATGAAAAATGTTCAAGAATCCCTGATCTACACCCTCGATGACAAATTACGAATCGAACGAACGTCGATTTAATTCGCGAAACAGGACTCGGGAAGCAATCGGTCGTAGAGATGCGCGCAGTTTTTAACGGAACGTCGACGATTTACTGGTTAATTGATTGTATTTCACTATCGGAGTAGTTCCATGAAATTCGGGGAGTCGGAGGTGATTGTGCTGGGACCATGAAGCAAGCTGAATTGCGCAATTTAATCGAAGCTTCGAGCTGGACGGTGCAAAAAATTTTTCATTAACAGTCATACATTCTCTGAATCGGATTTGGCGTCCTATTGAATTAGATTTTTAACCAGAATCCGTTCGGACATTCGTGCAATTTTAATAATTGCTTCGTTCTTACGTAGCTATATATACACAGTTTTATATTTCACCACCTAATTTCCTCTCCATAATTTCTCTCTAGTCTCCAAGGAGCGCGCTTTTCGTACCGGAAGTTAGTTGCTGGTAACCACAGGATAAAGACAAAACGACCTCGAAAATCGCAGCTCCTTATTCGCGGGTTTGACGCGCATAACTCTGTTACGTAAGACATAATCCCCCCACCCCCTTGGTTAATCGTCTTAGGAGCCTGCGTGTCACCGTGGTCTTCAGCCGCATTTCCCGGCGAGCTAATATCGCTGCCGTGATCGCCATACTTTCTAATACCGTTGCCACGGCGAGCGACGGAACGCGGAAGCGGTGAACGCTCCCTCGGAATCCTCTTATCTCGTTAAGCTGTAATACCGCGCGCGCGGAGGAGCCGCTCGTGCTGAGAATGCTGGAAGAAAATGCAGTTTCCGACTACCTTTGTAAATCCTTATCGTTCCACGGTTGCCCGTTTTCTTGGAATTTTCGTTGCGCCGCATCAGCGTTGCTCACCAGCTGGAAACAACGCGTTTTCGAGTTTCTCTCGGTCCACTCGAGGATCTGTTCTCATTATTCTCCGCGTTAAATTCCGCGAAACCGCTCGGAGCTTTCGCGACCGTTGCGAGCGAACGCGGTGCGCCAAGAGAAATACCACAGGGTTAGGTTCTCGACTAACGATCGTCGAACGTCGATCTTCCATCGTGACGCAATCGTTGAGCTTGCACTTGGCCCGTTCCACTTTTCGTGTATTTTGAAATCCTAATTCAAATTTAATTCGTACGATGAGTTTACGAAGCAAGTTTTAAGTACCGGTGAGCCTTTACACAGAGTTAAAATCAATGAGAATTTGGGTTGGTTTCCTCATTATGTAACGCTTACGAGTCTGATGCAATTACCCTGTAAGCGAGCTCTCCAGAGACATGGCATAGGAAGCCCTTTGTTCGAGGAAACCACCCTGTGACATTTCCCGTATAAGCCCCTGCGCCGAGTGTCGGTCTACGATACGTCAAGTGCCGTTGAGAGAGAACGGCTGGACTATCTCCAAAAGAAAGTTGGCTGGTATTTTTCAGTCCTGTCCGAGCACTCGAAAAATACGTACAAACTCCGGACGGTCCGACGACGATCGCATTTTGAGATGCAGTCGTTGCGGTTTACAATTAAGGGCGGGGGATTGAAAAGCGGTCGATACGGTCGAACCGATCAAATGGGATTTCGCGGTCTCGTGATAAAATGGCGGTTTTCGGCTATTTTCGACGGCACGGATGGGAACAATAATCGGTTCGGTATGGCTTCCGGCGATTACAGGGGGATGGAAAAAATTGATCGATTCCGACAGCCGTGGATACGGGATCGCGAAATGTTAATCTACGCTTGGTTTACAATTTTCAACATTCCACAGGGAATCGTGTGCTTTTATTGGACGCTCAGGTGTTTCTCTGGTGTAGTAATTCGCGCTTGCCAGTATAGTAAAGTCTCCTTAAATGCACAAGCTCGGGACTGAACTTGTGCGTTTATCGTAGAGTTCGTATACAGTGAAGACTGATTAAGTCCGAGACAGGATTTATTGGATAAATGCAATATTGGGTGCAATATTTTAACTTTTACGCCCGCGGTGGTTTTGTAAATGTACCGAAAAAAAGAGTACAGGTTCCGATTTTCTTGCACTTATCTTTACTCCACTGTACGCGAGAAAAAAGCGTCGATAAATGTAACACAGACCGAACCATTACCTTGAAAATCCGCAGCGTTGAACAAAGAATTCGAGTGATTGATTCGTCCGTCACGATCGGCGAGTCAAAGCGTTGAAAGTTGAAACAAGCTGCGCGAGTACTTCAATGGTGGAAGCCCCTCCAGCATAAACGCGTACAAAATCGCTTTCAGCGTAGATTGTTTTGTGTCCGACGGGCGTAGAAAGCGAGAGTCGGCCGAAACGCCCGCCATTCGTTGACACGATCGCACAAAACGACCGCGTCAAATATTCGCCGATCAAACGCGAGTATTGTTCAACGTATCGAAAGGTTGGTCGAACGAAAAAAGCATTAGTATAAACTCGTACGCTCGATTGCGCAACCATTAAAACCGCGATTGCAGAATGCTCGCCTCGAAAAGTTTGTATTGCCACTTGCCGCGCTTTGTCTCTCCTGTTCCCTTTTTTTTGCAATCTTCCTTTTTTACCCAATCTCCCCTTTCCAGTTTTTTTTTTATTCGCTCTCGAATTTTCAATTTTGACGTATGGCGCACTTTGATGCATAACGAAATTAAAATTATCACTCCGTGTTTCAAATATTATATTACAATTTTTGGGAGAAGAATTCAAGGTTTTAATTACAGAATTTCGCATTAGTCAAAGCAACCGAGGACGAAACTTTTAATGGCAAACCGTTAACTTTGTTCAATTTAAAGCGTTAGCAAAAAATGTTCGTTTTAGTTCGAATAGATTGCGTGCGCTTCGAGTGATTTCCGCGCGTGTCGCAAATTGTTGTACAACGAAGACGTTGTTACAATTTATGCAAACA